TTGGAGACACCTAGCATCATTTGGAGTGCTTAGGTAGAAGCACTGTTACCCAAAGACTGTCTTCCGTAGAGAGGTTGCAATTTGGAGTTGAGATATGACCTTCATTACCAGGCCGAAACATCTAACAATCAGTAAGGATCTCAAATCAATAATAATAATAATAATAAATCATTAATAATAATTTTTGGTTGATTCTCAAGAGAAAATTGTGGTTGTTCTTTTAACAGTTTCTGTTTTAAAATTTTATCGTCAGAAAATATGTTTATGAGTATCGCAATATTTTTACATGGCCAAGTAATCTAATTGTTGTGGCCTTGTTAGGACCAGAAATAAAGACACAAGAGAGGAATTGAGTTAAACAAATATATTAACAGAAACAGTAATACAAACATATACAAACGAGTGTGTTACAGAAAAAATATCCGGCTCGACTATCAGAGTTGACTGCTGGAAAATACACTCCTCTAAAAGGCAGTACCTGCTCCTATTTATAGTTAGGAGAGTCCATACATGCATGGGGAAATTACCATAACACTAATCTATCTATCTATCTCATCCTGTTCATATTTATCTATCTATTCCAAACTGTTATCTATCTATCTATCTTTCTATCTGTTTGTCTGTCTGTTTTGGGCACGTTGCAAAACAGTAAGAACGTTAGCAATTCGACCATGAATTTTACCCTGTTCGATTTCTTAATGAGACGACTCGATAATATCAGTTGGTGTAGGTGATCCCTGCATAACTGAAAACCCTAGAACCGATTTTTCCAAATCTTTTGAGTGTTATTGTGTAGCTGGAAGTTCTTCGAAAGACATCGAGTGTATGAGCGTACACTTTTTTTTTTCAAACAGTTGATCACGCCAGATTATGCGTTATTTCCCAGAAACTCTAAGGTAATGTTGAGCATAAATCACAGGTTGCTTCTGTGGCTGTTGAAGACAAACAAATGTCTCTGGACCTGTCTTTTTTTTCAGCAAGGATTAGCTAGTCTTTCAAGCATCCTCGGAAATGCATTCAGTCTATCTATCTAGCTATATATCTTTCATAATCTGTTCCTTTATATCCATCTATCTATCATATTCTGTTCACATCTATCTATCTATCTATCCATCTATCTATCTATCTCTCATATGTTCATTTCTATTTATCACATTCTGTTCGCATCTATCTATCTCTTTATCTATCATATTCTGTCTGCATCTATCTATCTATCTATCTATCTATCTATCTATCTATCTATCTATCTATCACATTCCTTACATGTTTCTCTATGTGCCTATCTATCTCTAATACTGCACCAGTCAGTATGTTATGGTATCCTTGGAATTAGCTCTAACCGTTCAATGGTAGAAAAACTGGTTTGTAATTTTCAATAACTGACACCAATCGAACATCATTTTTCATCACTTTTTTCTGTCACAATCAACGGTTGACCTCCCAATGAGTCTCTTTGCTTTGAGCGTTTAGTTGGGCTCAAGTTCGCTGTACAGCTCAAGTAGAACTTGTATATACGAAACATCGCTAAAAATGCTGTACCGATTCTGCTACGCCTTATCTTTACAAGAATTCGATTAGGCCAAAAATATTGCTGCCATATCTGTGCTGAAGCCTACCAATTTTCCCTTTCCAGCTTTGGCAAAGTTCAAAATCGTTTACAGGATCTTAGAGAGGATGACTTATTTTTCCACTCTTCGACCACTTCTTACTGACGCAATGTTCCAAATCTTTATGCTAGTCTAACGCTATTTTCACAGGTAATGTTTACATGATCTGCATTCTTTAGTGTTTTAAGACATTCTTTATGTTTATAAATTCTTTTTATATATACAAATATTTAAGTAAATTCTCTGTTTATAATAAACAGTATTAAACAACATTTACCGACCTGAATGTCCGAGAAATTGTCACAGGATTCGAACCTGTATCCTATACGGAACCGTCATTTAGCTTGACATGCCTTTAACCGATTTGGCCACAGAGGAGCGTTCGGTTAGCAAGGTCGAATTTACTGTATTTAAATTTAATCAAGCAATTTAAGCAAGGTCGAATTTACTGTATTTAAACTTCAATCTTCCATGATTTTCTCACCTACGTTCATATTTGCTCGATGCGTATCCAAATGTAAACAAATGACGTCACACATTATGAAATGGAGAAAGTCCGACAATTATTTTAAGACATTTTTATGTTTATAAATTCTCTTTATAGATACAAATATTTAAGTAAATGCTCTGTTTATAATAAACAGTATTAAACAACATTTACCGGCCTGATATGTCCACTTGGTTGAATCACCCTCATTTCTCCCGTATGGCATTGGTAAAAAGGATGTTTCACTTAGATAGCTTCTTCCCAAGAACCAGAAATACCCCCCCATCGATACTTCGCCGAATACTAAAATCTTTTCTTCATTCTAGGATCAATCGTTTTATATCCTCATAATATTCATTTTGTACTTCCTATTGGTTGACGTGTCAACACCTATATGGGTCATTTAATGCCGAAATCTAAATAGGAACTTTCAAACATTATTTCAGGATCAAATTATAATTACTTTGCTGCAATTCTTTTACCAAATAATCTTACAAAATCAAACGAGGAGTTGAAATGTTTTTCTTCTGCCAAGAAATAAGATTCATTTTTGACAATGTATGCGATGTCTTGAATTTTGCTATAAAATATAGTCATTTTTGACATAAAAATTTTTGTTGGTAATTTTACTATTAAAATGTATTGTTGGTAATTTTTTTTCTATAAAAACATACTGATGGTATTTTTTACTATAAAAATGTATTTTTATACTTTCCTAGTGTTTTGAGTTTTGTCTGGGAGTTCGTTATTTGCCTATAGCTGGGGCCCTAACTACCACTCTGGGTGAGAGTGGACCTGGGAACAACAGCAATTAAGAGGTTGTTCCAGGCTCCTTAAAAGCTCCAATCTCCCGATCAAAGATTGCTGCCGGATGTAGTTTATCGTCATAGCCAGGACTATCCTACTCCTTCCACTTACGTTCTTATTACACACCTCATCCTGTAACGCTCTACTTTGAATGGCTATTGGGCCTTGTATTGGTGCACATTGGTATTAAAAATTATCCTAGTCTTTTTCCCTCGCTCTTATTCATAATATATAACTCCTCTATATATAGTTCCTCTTCTGGTCCTTTTGAATACAGAAACACAAGCACACACAGAGAAGGATGGACATGATCTAACAGAGACAGTTTTTTTTAATCGGCATTACCCCACACAAGACAGTAAAGCCACTAAGACACAAGGGAAAGGGAAAGAGCAATCGGGAGCACAGTGGATAGCGATTGCATTTAAATATCTGCAGATTAAAGTTGGCTGGAAAGCATTGAGCTGGAACTTCCACAGTGCGAGAAAATAAACTGTTAGATTAGGATTTACGATTAAATCTAGCCAGCTCAACTGTAAAATGGTGTGATCTTGACGACAATCTGGTATTGCACTTAAATTTTTAAAAAAAAGTCTAGATACAATAGCGAAGACGACATCCGAAAAATTACCATGAAAGCATTTATAGAAAAGGCATAGAGAGGCAACCTTACGGCGACAGGAAAATGACTGAAGCCGAGCCGCCAGATCAGGACCAATAATATGGCTGATTCTTCTGTGGATTTTATCAAAAAGCTCAAAGTAAATAGCAAGGTCACCAGACCATATATCTGGCAGCCATATTCTAAGCATGGACGAATGGTAGACTTATAAATATGTAAGATAGATTCTGGAGAGAAAAAAATGTCTCTCACGACAGAGTGAACCAACTTTCCTAGCAGCTGATCTAACAATGGATTCAATATAGTCTTTCCACTTCAGGAATGTGATAGCTTAGATGTGGCACAAGGCCAAAAGTATGGGCACCGCGTGAATATCGGACTCAGTATTCAATAACTGATCTAGTGAGATTGGCTTGCTAACCATTACACCTCGTTGAATTGCTCATAGAGACAGATATGAACAATGCATATGTAATGTTTATAAACATTATTTTCAGTATGTAGCATGTGTGCATGTGTGCGGGCACGTGTGTGTATGTATTTACGCGCGCCAGTCTAAGAAGCTCTTCAAACAGAAATAACTGATGTTTGGTCATTTGTTCAGAGTTTGGGAATTGGAGTGGAACGCTGCGAACTTTTCAGTCATCTTCTTTGAACCGTTTCCTTCGCGACGCGAGCGATCATAGCTCTCCCCAACTTCCATATCATTTATAGATCTGGGAAAGATTTGTCTTTTCGTTACCTCTCTAACACTCTGTTCTGCCATCCTTTTACCCAAGCTGTTTTCCACTGTCCGACCCGTCTTCAGTGTGTCATGTGAGTGTCATATTCTCCAAGCCTTCTTTCCTCATTATGCACTCTAGAAAATTGAATTGACTCTTTTTTATCCTAATTATGTGCCTCCATTCTGTCTCCATTTTGCTGAAAACTTCCACATTAATCACATGTTCTCTCTAAGGAATTCTTAGCAGTCTTCTGTAAAATAAGATTTCTCTTGATTCAAGACTATAAAAAATTTAAAAAAATAAATAATAAATCGAAGAAATCAATCGGTAAATTTTTGATTTTGTTTTGTTTCCTGTTTTCTTAATAATTTGCATCTTTGAATTCAACTGATTTCAAATCGAATCCAAATGTAATTTGAAATTCGAATTCTCAGATTCAGTACCCAATCAATTATTACGACTCGTCCATTCAACGTTCAGATGATGCCAGTGGTCAGTGTTCGCATCATTATTAAAATCTGAATTTCGAATACTGATTTTCAAGGCAAGCCGGGCCACTTCATTTGAAAGATGGCTGCAATGTAATTTTTTTTGACGCACCATTTTTTGTTGTCAACTTGATTTAGAAAAGACCCAGGCTTTTTGACAATTCTTTACGCGATCTTTGCTTCTGCTGCAAGATTGGTTTCAACGACGGCATCAAACATTTTGTCCGATTGCATTGCTGTTACGATACCCCAGTAGCTCTATGCATGCCATTTACGATCGCATTTTCCATCAGCCGCTTTTCAACAACTTTATTTTTCTCTGTATCTTATTCCACCCACTTTGTAATACCCTTTCTCTCTCTATCAGATTCACCCCCCTCCCTTTCACTTTCATATTTCCATCTTTTTCTCTTTTTTTTTTCATTTCACTCTCCTTTTTCCATTCTCAATCTTCTTTCTTCCTCTTTCCTCTCTTTATTTTCTCTCATTCCTTTACTATCATTCTCTTTTCTTTTCTCTTCTCTCCCATTTTCTTTTCACACTCATTTCTTCCTTTCTTT